GTAGTAGTACAGGTGCGAGTTGGCAACCCAGTTGATGAGGATCTTGCGGGGCGTGAGGTAGAGCCGCAGCGCCACGTAGGCGAAGCCGGCGACCAAGACGTACGCCAGCATGCGACTTGGTGCAATCTCGAAAATGCAAGATTCCACCGGCTGGCATGACCGGGGCACGTACACCGGATACGTCAACACATGTGGCGCAGGTGCATTTTCTTGTGCCCCGGGGTGCTCTGCGACAGGCGCTGCCACGGGATGCGACCGTTGACGTGGCTGGCGACCGGCCATGACGCAGCCACGATAACGATGGCCACCAAGTGCCAAGCGCCGGCGCTCGTCGATCGCAGTAGTGAGTAGAGAGGCAAGATGCCAGGCGACGGCGAGGACGATGGCGCCGTGCCAGAGACAACGCCTGTTGACGTTGACGGCTCAGAGACAAGGCGCACGCGGGCAAGGCAGCAACATGGCCGGTCCTGGCCGCCAGCAAGCGTGGGCTAAAGATCACGGATTCATTCGAGTCTCGCGTTGCGAGAAGCGCAAGTGTGCAGCCGCCGTAGAATCTCTACACTACGAACTGGTAGCACCTGCACACAGACTCACTAGCGGCCTTGGATTTTCTCTACTTCAAGCCTCTCTTAATGCTGAGGCTATCGATATCAAGTGCGCTGGCTGGTCGCCATGGCAAACGAGGTCGCGCCAGCCGCCACCGCCGAGAGCACGCGCAGGTGATGCGTGTCAAAGTACGCAATGGCCGTCGGCCTCGCAACGTTCTGCGTGTTGCCGTGCCCCAGATTCCCGTGTTCGCCCCAGCCGCACGAGTAGAGTCTCCCGCTCGCTGTTACTAGTCGTAGAGGCGACATGAGGCGAGAGACGCTTCCTCCATCGACGTACCAAGAAGCGAGTGCTCCGAGCCACACGCCACGTGGTTAATGCGCTCGTCCATAACCAGGCGGCGTGGTGTACGCTCTGCGTCGACACCGCCATGGCCTACGTGAACATGCGCATCCACGCCACGGAAAAAAGACGAGGAAGGCAACCCACCGAGCTGACCGAACGAGCCTTTGCCCCACGAGAAGACGGCGCCGTCACGAACGCTCACGACGTGATGCCACCCAACAGCGACGTGGTCACAGCGGAACGGCTCGGCGGTATCTGCCTCGAGGATCGGCGTGGCTTCAAAGACCTGCTTGCGACTCTATTGCCTTTTGGGTGAGTCGCCCATTTTCAGATTTTCCAGATTTTCGCAAATTTCTGGATTCCGGTCAACGCACCTCGTTGCGAAGCCCGAGCTGCCCGTGTCGGTTGCTGCCAGCAACGACAAGACCCTTGGACGTCAAGTGGAACACCGAGTGCTGCCACCCGCAGTAGACCGCTGCGACGGCACCGTCGATTGGCACCACTGTGGGTGTTGGTGCACGAAGCGTCTCGGGCCCAAGTCCGAGCTCGCCCGACCGACCATGGCCCCAGGCAAACACCTACATACGCCATGTCAGCACTCGATGAGCGACGAGGAATAGATGTGTACTCGGCCATCGCTGGTCGCGAGTGCTTCCAGCCACTCGCGACACTGGCAACGGCCAGCACAGGCGTGGGAAAGCGCAGTGGCTGTTGCACGAGGGTTGCTTTGTCTACGTACGCATTCGAACGTGCTCTACTGCAGCTGCTTCCAGAGCCTACCTGGCGGTGACTGGCCAAGCTGGTCGTGCTGGTTGCTACCCCAGCTATAGACCGCCGAGAGCCCATCGGCGTGCGTGGCAACAGCGATGGTATGCGACCAGCCGCAGCGCACAAGCGTGACGGGCGGCTACACGTACAGACATCAATGGACCCAGTCGAGACGCAACGCCTACCTCGATCGCGATCTTTACAGGTGCATGCGCCGTCGGTGCGTCGAGATGCAGTTGGGCGTGGGCGTTGCTGCCCCACATGTACAGCGCGCCAGTTGCATCCACAGCTACGAGAGCGTCGAGCACGAGCGCCGAGATAGAACCGACGCCGTACCAGCGCTATGGCAGCCGCCCACGGCCAGCGCCAACGGGCTGTGCAAGGCGCCGAGGTCAAGCGGCCGCGGCTCGGCGTGGTCCGCGCTGTCGCCAAGGCCGAGCTGTCCATCCGAGCCTACTGGACCATGAGCGCGGTTGCAGCATGCTGTGGCATCCACCAGATCCCCATGCAAAGATGACGGTGGCCGTCATCGGGCGCCCGTGCCAAATTTATCTGCCAATGTGCCACATCTATCGCCAATGCGCCACATTTAATAGCTGGCGCACACATGAAAAATATGTTTCACACATAACACAAAATAAATACCACCGTGTAAACAACCTGTCGGCCAATCAGGAGCGCGATCCCACGTGGCAGCATGACAGTTGAAGAAACCAAAACAAAAATCATCATCACTTTATACTCTTGCTCGCTGGGTGGCCCGGCCTTGGGAAGCGATCGGACTAAAGAACGACGTCGACGAGGTGCGCTGGGTGCTAGTATTGGCCGACGCCGTCGACTTGTACAGGACGAGCGCCTCCTTGCTCATCACGGCGAGCCAGCCTTGCTCGGCCGCGACGTTCGGGACAATCCCGTGCTGAACATCGACGATCGACGACGGTAACTTCGGGTCGAGCTTGCGCACAACGTTACCAGACGTTGTCTCCCAGAGCCACAACTGGTGCGAATCATCGTCGGCCGACGCAACCACCGGGCTGCCTTGATGCGGTAGGTGCCACATGGCCGACCGGGACAGCGCCGACGGCGTGCGGTGGCCCTACGCAGCGTCATTTTTTTCATTTTGAGATCTAAAAAGATCGAGAAGGTACCTGAACGACTGCATCCGACACGGTCTGTAGCTGGTTGTTGGTCTGTTGCACCGACAAGACAAAGTGTTGGGCCGGGGACGATGGCAGTTGTGTCCGTGTCGAGACGATCAACTGCGTCGGCCGGACTTGGTTGTGGCCCATCGAAAAGCAATTTTTGACTTCCATGTTCAAGCTCGGGTCGGTCGGTACCGTGACGCCGTCCGAGGCGTACCACATGGACACACCTGTGAACGTCGCCGCCACAATGGTCTACATATATCATTATTCCAAATAGAAGACAGAGCATTGGGAATTAACCTTGGTAGAGCCGTGCTGCATGGTGCAAATCGAGTGCACGGGCTGCTTGAGCTGATGGGCCAGACTCTGGACAGGCGACCCGGTGCGCCGAATATCAAATACCGAGATCTGGCCATTGTGGTGGCCGCAGTAAATCTACATCCACGCCCGTCGATCATTATTTCTCGTTGACGAGACAGGTCGTACCAGACACGGATTGGCCACATCCCACGCGCACGACCAGCCAGGAAACGGAAGGTTGTACTTGAGTACACACGTGTGGGACTTTGTACTGGTCTAGACAGGACATTTCAGAGGCTTTGGTAAGGAGAGGAAGAAGAAGAAAAGCGTGTACGAGGAGAAGCTTGGCGTCAAAGGCCGTGGTTGCGACAAGAGCATCGTCGTGTGAGAAGCCGAGGTCGCGGACAGGCGACTTGTGCAACGGAATCGACACGCGGTGGTGCACATCCAGCGTGCTCACCTAGACACTCCCTCATCGTATCTCGATATCATCGAAGCAATCGGTGGATACCTGGAGCAGCCCGTGCTGGGCACCATCGTCGTTGGCCACATGCGTTCGCGTGCCAATGCAGACCATGTCACAGGTCGACGAGAAGCCGCAGACGCGGGCTTCAATGCAAGGAATCGGCCCGTCGTTCACGCGCGTGTACTCGAGCCGTGCAGTGGCATTCGCCTCGTCCGCTTCCTCGTCATCGTCGTCGTCATCATCGTTGTCGTCCGAGAGAACGATTGGTGCGGTTTTGAGCCGCGAGTTCTCGGCCAGCAGCTCCATGATGCGCTGTTTTTGCGTCTCGATCTCTTGCGCGATCGTCGTGACCTGCAGCTTGAGCCGCGCCACGTCCATTTCGGCCTAATGCATATTCAGCTCTACCGTCTTTGTCGGTGTCATCTTGCAGGTCTGTACCTGCATGCGCGCTTGTTTTTCCGCCAAGTACTTTTGGTTGTACTCTTCCTGGCGGCCATTGTCGACGGCTGCGATCGTATCGGTAAAGTGGATGCGCACGTCGTTGCGCTTCACGACCCGGTTGCAGATCGGACACGTCTTGCTTGTCTTGACCCAGCGCTCGATGCAGCTCTGGCCAAAAAAGTGGCCGCACGCGAGGCTCGCGAGGCGATGGCCGCCCTGCGTCGTGCAAAACTCGCAGCAGATCGTGCACTCGAGCGCCTACATACGGCCGTGAGATGCGCGCGCATGGGCCATGACGTGCGTACCTCGATGCTCTCGCGCCGGCGCTTGCGTCCCGTCGGCGACGTCGTCCCCGACCCCGTCGTCGTCGCCATGCCTGCCAATTCCAAAAATGCCAGCGCGTAAATGTGGTTAAATATGGCATGTCTTGTAAAATGACACACAACGCTTCTTTTTATTTGTGGTTAGATGTGGCATTTGCACGGCCACCGCTGTCCTTTCCAGCATTTCATCTCTCGCAAGCCCAGGGCTTGCTCGTTGCGCGGTCACCTCATACAGCAAGACAAGCGTGTATAGCTGTACATGGACGAATGTCCTAAACCGAGGCTCCAACTTGGAGCCATTCCCTTGCTGGCATGATAGGCTTGGACTCGATATGTTAAAAAAAAGACGAGTCCCTTGCTATGAAACCACCATAGAATATAATTATTTATCTATTTGTTTTTATTGGTGTAAGTTACTTCGTTTTTTGACCAATCCGCGTCGACGCGCTCGTGGCAGTCGCCGCCGCAGAGCTCTCGGTCGCCCAAATCACGTTCAGAATCCAACTCGCTGCAACTTGGCACATCGATAGAGGACTCTTTGGGGAGCACGAAACGCTACGTCCTGTCATCGTGCGAGGTCTATAGCAGAAGAAATCGTCCTTGACAATGAAGTACACCGGGGCACAGCTTTATCCGGATGATGGACAAGTAGGTACACTGCGATTGGTGCGATTGGAGAGCATCGTTGGCAGCTCATGGAGGCGAAAACCTGCAAACGACCACAGACAATGGCGAGCCATCACCCGAACGCACTCACTTCCTCATGTTGTGCGCCCGCACACACTTTGGTGTCGGCGCATCGATCGCTCATGTGGCACTGGCAAGGCGACCGCTGTCCTTTCCAGCTTTGCCTCTTTCGTTTGCGTGCTCGTTCTACCTGGTACGCTAGCCTCATGCCAGAAGTCTGCAGTGTCCATAGTAGATAGTGCTAGAATGTATACATAATTGTCATCGATTTCAGTGTTTTTACTTGCGACGACGGAGCTGTTGCCGGGCTTCGTTGCGCATGAGGCCATAAAAGAGCTTGTACTCCATGGAGGCGAGAAGACGGTTGACAAACCAAGCATACTCGCCATGGTCGTCTTTTTCATCGAGAATGTCCTTGCACGCCGCGTAAAACTGCGCCGTCGTCCCGCCTTCGTCTTCAAGGAAGCCTACTTCCCACCTCAATCTTTCCTCGTTGACCAAGAAGAGACGACCTTGGAGCCGGTCTTCAAAAATCTTGAGGTACGCATCATGGAGCTCCTTGTACTCATGCTTGTGCTCGACGTCGTCCGAGTCGACAGAATCAAAGAACGCGGACGCGTGCTCCCTACGCGTTCTCCATTGAGCGACGTCTGGGGGTAGGGTCAGCAGCGCACTCGGCAAATTCCTCAAAGACGCGCTCAAACGCTGGAGACGCGCAGTAGTCGGCTGCCCGCTGGAGGATCGACATGGCGTTTGGTTATAAGTTGAAAGTGAAGATGAAGTGATAATGGAGCCGTGTCCGCGGTGGTATTTATAGGGCCGTTGGCCACCACCAACCCGTCAACGGCAAGAGCGATGCCGCCAAAACGTCAATCGTTCATGTTTGAGCACAAACTAATACGTCGGTTCTACGAAGAACACCCGCAAGGCTATGGTAGTAGGAACTAGCTATAGTAGTAAGAGTAAGTGGAACCAGTAGCGCATCACCGACGGTTCGAACCTCGTGCGATCGGTGTGTGCGGTAGTTGTGTCGGACCGTCTCGACAAGACCCATTGCAAGTCGATTTTCCGCCCCTTGAGTCCATGTTCATCGACTCCAAGAGAAGTGAAACACATCGTTGGCCCATAAACCAAAGAAAGGAGCACTGGAAGACTGGGCTATGCCAACTTTCGACAACAAATTTAAAAAAACTCAAGACAAAACGTCCTAAAGCCACAGCTCGGGCTTGGCGTGGAGTGCGAGGTCGTTAATCAAGAGACAAAAGAGCGCATGGTCGACACCCGGTACGATCTGTATGTGCTCCGGCGCCTCGTCAAACAGCTCCAGCTGCAGCGGGTGGAGGACGTCGACCATGGGCCAAATGCACGCGTGAACCTTGGTCAACGTCTCGGCTTGGAGCATCGTCTGGTTCACGCCGTACTCGGGCGTGAGGCGCGTGAGATAGCTATGGCTGATCATCGCCCGCAGCACCGACACACGGTGAAAGACCATGTGCCAGAACGGCGACGTCGCGTTGAGCTCGTGGATGCGCAGTAACATCGCATTGTTCCAGCGGGACATGGTCTCTGTGAGCGCATACCAGCGACTGACCGCCATGCCGGCGCCGCAGAGCAAAATGAGGCGGCGCCTAGACCGAGATTCGTCAGGCGTTGGGTCCGTAAAGGAGTTGCGTACACCGAGTCGGGATGCCGCTGGCTGTACCGCAGCGCGATGGCCGAACCCATCGAGATCCCCGCGATCGTCACCTGCGCCGTCGCCCAGCCAGCGCGCTCGATCGCGTCACGGACTTGGTGCACGAGGACGTTCGGGTCGTGCATGTCGTTCTGAGGAAGGTACGGGGACGCGCCATGGCCATAAAAGTCCAGCGTGAGCACCGCGTGGTCGTACGCGAGCTTCTTCGCCGTCGTCGCCCAGTCCTTGGAGCTCATGCCCCAGCCGTGAAGGAGTACGATGTGCGACTGTGGCTGCGCGCATGCGTTGTAAACAGTCGAGTGGTACGGCGGCAGCACGGCGAGCGG